CAGTAGCAGTAGCAGTAGCAGTAGCAGTAGCAGTAGCAGTAGCAGTAGCAGTAGCAGTAGCAGTAGCAGTAACGATAGCTTTAAGATCCTTAATGAAACATTTAAGTACATTTTAAGCTTGAATTTAAGTATTTAACCCAGAATTTTCAATAAACTGAAATATATGTTAGGGTAGGCTCGAACGCCTCTGGCAATCTTCCCAAATACCACGTTTGAAATAGGAAGCGAAATCTTTTCCCAAGTTGAAAGCATAACGCAACCCACTTGTATACTCGTGTTTCTGCAGGTGTTTATTAGAAACTACGATACCGACACCGTGGTAAAACATCGCTTAACTCCACCAATCAAAGCGCGATATGTTAGACTGACGCCTACAGCATGGAAGGAACACATCTCCATGAGGATGGAAGTCTACGGTTGTCTTGGTAACTGACCCTTTAATTCAACCCTAAACTCAACAATGTCTAATTTTTACTTGATTGTACCTTAACTCTAAGAGTAAAGGCTTAAGATTGTTACAGCTGTGTGTACGAGATACGGGAGACTGGTCACGAATAGTCTTAAATTAACTTGCAGATCAACAAAGACCTCGTTAAATTTCATGAAACGATTAGAACAAGAAACGTTTAATCTTTTTTCGTTTAACCTCTACATAAGACTAACTGCAATAATCCCTTTCTAGCCTCCTCAGTGAAGGAGGCTAGAATTTTGCTACGATCTTAATCTTTATTTTGTGAGCTGCAAATCAAGATAATTTTGGATATTTTGTCACCTGTAGAATGCAAAGCTAGAACGGTTATTTGTCACCTTGCCGAGCGCGGTCGCAGAGCTACAAAGATTTTATAGTGTTGCGCGAACTTCCAAGCACCAAATGCGGAAAAATATGATGTAGATACGAAAAATGGAGAATTATCCAAGAAATGAACCTATCGTAGATGCATTAAAAGAAAATCTGAGGACAATAGTGATCCAGGTCAGCCAATCAAGGTTTCGATAAGTATTATTAGTCGAAGCCGAAGGCTGAGGCTAACAGCACTTACCCTACCTCGTTCCCTCCCTAGGGAGGATTTGATTATTTCGGATTATTCAGAAACGACTCATCCCCTAATTGTTTACTTTATGCCGGATGTTTTTTTATTATTATTATTTCGTAGACAAAATGCAAGCTCTTGGCATGGAAAGCGGCGCTATTGCAGACTCGCAAATAACGGCATCTTCAGAATATAATGCCTACCACAGCCCCAAGCGAGCGAGATTGTATACTAAAGAGACTGATGCTTATTCGAGTGGCGCCTGGTTAAGTTTGACGAGCGATTTGAACCAATGGCTTCAAGTTGATCTTGGTAAAATCACGCCTGTGACACACGTGGCTACACAGGGAAGGAATAAGTGGTCTCCCGCACAGATGGTGACGAAGTAAAAGTTGCAGTTCAGCGACGATGGAGCATCATTCTTGTTTTACAAGAGACAAGGAGAATCTTCGGACGCGGTAAACAGAAATATTTTCACAAGACAATCTTTCAAGTTAAATATGTTATTTGCCGGCTGTGAGGTCCGCATGGCAAAAAAAAAAAAAAAAAAANTATGTCTAAGAGAAATTTTACATGTTAGACGAATTTTACCGCTGTGACAAATTTGACAGCTTAAATGGATTGTATGGCTTAGACGAAATTTACCTCGGTCACAGTTTTTCACCATACAGACCCACTTCTCTCTCCCTCTGAAATCACTTGTCTTCAAACTCACAAAGGCTTTACCTTGATCGTGGGCAAATATAGGAAAATCCGGACCGCGCTACGAAACATTGTAGCGATCGTTACCGTGCCTCCTTGGAAGAAAATGAATCATTTTATTTCTTTATTGTAAGACGAATAATTCGTGTCAGACTTAAAAGTACCTCAAGATAGGTCAAGATAAGACGCACGAATTTCCTCCCAGACATTTGTTACAATCTTCACGAGAAATTTCTCTATTTATTTGATGGCATCATTAGCCACATTGACTCAAAGACAGTCAACAAAAGCAACAATAAATTTTTATTTTGCCAAGAAGAAGCAACTCTGATAAGCTGTAACAGTTTCAATCAGGCGCGGCGTATATAATAAAGAATGGTAGTAACTAACTTAACTGTTCAACGAATATTTCGAATTTTGTACATACAGAGCGAATAAAACATACCTTGCAAAATAAGTGAACTAAAACAAACTTCACACAGAAATCTCTTTTTGTTTCCTAACCGCTATATATATCCTTGGGTGTTCGAAGGCAATACCTACCACGACACCGTTGTCTATCACCATTTAAATCCACCAATCACGGCACGTTTCTTACGGATAAAGCCAACTGCATGGCAAATTCATATCGCTATGAGAATGGAACTCTACACTCATACAGGTACTTTACTGAATTACCCAGCTTCTTAATTCATCTACTTTTAATTTATTGTCAGGATGATTTCTTAACTCTCTTGCCAAAAAGATGTGTAAAACATTCCGCGTTTGACATGACATGTCAAAAAGAAAATGTTTCACACATCTATTTGCAATGGACGTTAAGGAATCATGGTTCTTCATGGTGCATCAAAATGATAAAACGTACGTGCTAACGATTTAGCAACGAATTCGAATTGACTCGTTTTGCTTTTGACACATGTGAGTCATTTGAAGCCGCTTCATTTGACCTGAAATGTTTTCCGGAACTTGTCAGACACACAGACGTGAGATATAATAATTCCTGCTTGGACCACAAATCGAAAGGGAAAAACTCCTTTCATAACCATTAGTTATTCCCTCGAAGTTTGTTAATAAAAGGTATTCATGATGTATAAAAGTTTACACCTTGTCCCCTGTCATTTAGGAATGCCATTTTAAGAACGAGAAAGACATAGTTAAGGTAAATATTGGCTAGAACGAAAATAGCTAGCCCAGACCTTCAAGCATTTGTAACTGTTATTAAGACAAAATGTTATTTTTATTTATTTATTTTTTCACAGATTCATAGACTCTTGCAATTTAGAAGGGCACGATATTTAAACAGGTGTGTTAGAGGGTCTGGTTGGGATTACAACTGACAACTGACGACACCGACAAATGCCAAAAAAATAAGATACTAATAATAACTGACAAAAAGCTTAAGCCATTGTTATTCGTTTGAAATTCATCGAATTTTTTTTTTTTTTCGGTTGAGATATTATCACTTGATCCTGTTGTGTTGAATATTCATGCTATTTAGCTTGGTTTTATACTGAAACCATCACTGAGTTTCCTATTAAATCTCTAAATACGAATCATTTTCAATTTGACACTCATACTACCTGTTACATGATCCTAAATTGAAGGCCACGTGGCCACAGCGAGAATCGAAATGTCTGCTGGTATAAAGCGATCGATTTGTAGTGAATGAACTTCCAGTTGGAACAATACGACTCGGAGCGAAACGGCTTTGTAGCGAAAGGACCGTTGGATCCTTGAAGTGATAATGACACTCCCTTACTGAGCTTGGGCTACCTAGTTTTGGAAAAGCTAAAATCATCGCAGGAGCTACAGATGTACAGTGGCAACTAGAGTTACCAGGCGAAGTAGGCAGTGAACTAAACGGTTATCGAATATCACATTCTCCCTAGCATTCAATAATAAATTGTAAGTAAACCTGTAAGTAAACCTTACAGAGTGCAACCAATTTTTAAGTGCGTGCCAGAAACATATGGACTATATTAACTTATTCTGCGGAAAGTAAATTGCTATCGATTCGTTACGACATGTTAGTAGGTCGTGTCCAGATCCGGAAGGAGAGTACGTGTTCGTTTTCGCCTGGATTTGCCATGTACATTCGTAGATATTATTAATGGGTATATTAGAATTTGGGCATGAATTTTCATTAGCAGTTGCTTGTAAGAAATAGGCCATATCCGAGTCAAAACGACGTGCAAAACCTTTCATATGAAAATGAGTTTGATATGCATGAAAAGGAACATGTTGGCAGAACACATTTCGATGTGAATGGTTTCGCAGGAATGCTCGTTTTGACTCAGAGGCAAAAGGCAACTTGGAATTGGCCTATTGAGATACGATGCTTGCTTTGTGTAAGGACCAAGGTAGAAAGGAAAGAATTTTAGGAAAATAAGGGTCTTGATAATTGACAGATACTTAACTGACAACTGACAAATGGCCCAAAATTCAAATGAAAATTCACAAATCGGACAAACTTTTATTGAGAACCGACATCCCCCCCCCTACCATCTAGACCCTCCTGATGTCTGCAGCAAACTCTGTTCCTGATGTCTACAGAAGAATAAAGTTATTCACTTTCTCGTTTTTGATATTTTGTTAGTATTTGTTTCACAATGACCCTGAAACCCCATTAGAGGAATGGTCAATTATGATCTGTATTTATTTCATTTATATATGTGTTATGTAAGACCTCAATTGTAATGGTCCACTGCTCGTAGTTCTGTTTTTGGTAGAACATTGCTGGTAAGTAATTTTCCGGACTGTCCTTTCAAGTGAGTCGTAATGTTATTTAAGTCTTAGGGAGGTGCGCCTACTGCCCTACCTAGTATATCAAACGGAGAAATTAACAAATTGACGTCAGTTTTTTATGCGGCTGTCCTCTCATTGATGATAAATTGCGTCACAACATTGTCAAAGTGGCTGTGGAACCACGAGCCGCAGGCTAACGTCAATTCTAACGTCAATTCGTTTTTTACAATAACAAGACCCCAAAATAGTCAAATGTCGGGAATAAATGCGGGCGAAAAGACGCCGTAAACTTGCCATAAACAAAGATATAACTGAATTTTATTCAAAATGACGCGAACATTGTCAATAGCTTTTCTCGCTTATTGATTGGCTACTTAAAAAAGTCCATAGAATCTCATTGGTTAAAAAGTTGACAGCTTGACAGCTGAAAGTTGGACTGGAAAGCTATCATAAATTAAAATTTATCTGTCGGTGCTCTTATTGATGAAAAAAATGAGCCAATCAGCGCGCGAGAAATTAGACAGTTATTGCAAAATAGATTTACCGCATTGTTTTATAGCTCGGCAGCTATTGCGCTATTCCATCATGATTTGTGACTTCGACACATTCCAATAATTAAGTTTTAATTTGCAGGCTTGTTAACAATAAGATTTTGCAATGTACTTTTGATTTCATATGTGTTACGTTATACACGGACTAGCAATGTTGTTTGAGAGTAATTAACGACCATTAAGATGCCATTTGAGGACCTATCACTTAACAATGACATTTTCTAATGTCCTTTTGATTTTATACGTTACGCATCAACTAACTATCAATTAATTATTAAGACTTCAGTTAACCGTAAATGAAAACAATTAACGGTTAGCCGTAAAAGGGCCAAAGATTTTTAAACCGTTAGGCCTAAAAATGCTTAAAAGTTTTAACCGTTAGCGGCAAAAGCCGCTACTAAACTGAGACCTTCTGCGTACGCTTGAAGAAATTGATTCTAATATAAGAAACGTTTACTCTATAAGCAGTCGCATTAAACTTGATTCTAATATAAGAAACGTTTACTCTATAAACAGTCGCATTAAACTTGATTCTAATATAAGAAACGTTTACTCTATAAGCAGTCGCACTAAACTTGAGTAGCTTAAATCATCATGCTGACACACTGTTTCTGTTTTTGAAGTAAAACAACTGCAGGTACAACTGCAAAATCTTCTAATTCCATCATCCATTGGTGAGCTTACAAAACACTTCTGGCTTGATGGCAGCAACAATGAAAATGTTTTGCATTAGAATGCTTGCGCTTTGAATCACGGAACCATAACTTTGTAGAAACGTTCTCATAGTTGTCAAAGGCCAATTCCCTCTATGAGATGTGCCTGCAGGGAATCATGGTAGCCGTATTAATCATCTTGAACTGGATATCTGTTTCGAGGAAGACTGAACTACTATGATTATATACCTCGCTCGCAAGCGCGTCTCATGGAGAGAAAAGACCTCTTTAGCTTAGGTGGTTTGTTTTCCCGTTCAGATCACGTGATATTCTCTAGAGAATTATTGTTTTATCTATTTAAAAATGATTCATTCATACACAGCCGACTTGAAAATTTGGAAAACAAGAATTCTCAAGAGTATCGGCACATGGTTTGAAATGGGGCAACAAATTGCCCAAGCGAAAGAGGTCTATTGGCCATCGCAGATTTTGAGTTATTTTAGTTGATTAGTTGTCAACTGCTGTCTCTCTAGTCTGTCAAGGTATTGAGTGAAGTATTATCCAGATTACTCCACTGTGGATTACAAATGACTGTACAAGTGTCTCGCGATAGTTGCACTCCATGGGATACTGGTTTAACAGGTTTTCTGTGGTTCTATTTTCATTTGCTTTTTGACTCAACAAACGGGCTTACCAAAATACTACAACGCTTGCAAAAATATACAGGATACCAGACTCTAAAAGTGCGATTTGCATGAGAAATGTCTTAATTGAAGTGTAGTTTGATTTCGCAATGCTGTGCCAATTATGTACACCTTTTAAAAATAAACAAATAAACCAACATTGTAAATTGAATAAAGGCATGTTATTAAACTCAACTGGTGGGAGGTAAACCACTGGGCTATTTATATAGCGCAACCAGCCTACGTAATCCGTTCGTTGCAAAATGAAGGATTTGAATTAGGGACCTCCATGATTTTAAATCCAGCACCCTGGCCCTGGAATCCAACGTCCTAAAGCATCCGGCTATTCCCCCCTCCTCCCACCCAAAATCTCTTTTTCTCCCTCCGCTCAGAAGATGAACAAGTCCTTTGTTTTTTCCGGTATGGTATCCTGTGATAGAAGATATCACTTGTAAGTGTCTGTGCGAAACTGGTGACATATTACTTCATCAGTTATCGACTTCTGTGCGGCGGAAAATGGATGAATTTGTGGAAATGATGCCCCCGTGTACTCAGGTGATGTCTGTAGTCGTGGTAAGAACCATGCTTCTCATTCTCGGTGTCTCTCATTGCAAGATGCTAAGTATCTGCTGTAAAAGGAAAATAAAGTCTTGCCATTAGATTAAGAAATTCTTAAATATACCCTTGGTTATTTTCACATTGTTCATCACTCTCAAACTCATTGATAATTCGTCCAGCCTAAACAACGACGTTTAGCAATTTTAGTTTTCCGTTTTCTCCTTCGTTCTTAGTTTTGATAAGGAATATAAATTATATCAAATTGTCATGACAGAGTTTTTCCGCACTGCTAAACATACAGCGCGTGACATTTTTAACTCTCTTCTCCGTACTTGGGAATGTGGCAAAACACGGTCTCTCGTGTTTGATACATTACCTCAAATATGACCGTGTTTTATCAATATGAACTATTTTTGGTTGGTTTGGTTTAATGTTCGAAGAATTCCTAAAATTCCTTGAAACTGATTGAAAACGAAAATCCTTCTTCCGCTTGTTTGGTCGATCAACCTTTTTCATGGTTTAACCATATGACTACATGACTTTCGGTTGAAATTCAGCTTGACCAATCATCAAATTCTTTCAAGTAATATAAACTAACCAGAAAAGGGTTTCTCAAATTTAGTAGAGAACATGAATTTAATAAAAGAGCAACAACAATTCAACCAGTAGATCTGCCGAGAACTATTCTTAACGTGTGACATTACTCGTCCGCTTCAAAGGTGAAACGCATGCTTTTTTATTTATTTTTTAATAAATGAATAAAAAGCAAATAAATGAAGTACCTCGATAAGTGTAGAACTCCATCCTCATCGCGATATAATATTGCCATGCCGTTGGCAGTATTCGTAAATAACGTGCCCTGATTGGTGGGTTTAGCTGATGATACACAATGGTGTCGTGGTCAAAATTGCCATCGAAAACCTGAAAATGTACACGGCGGTGAGCGAGCTATTCAAACATATAGATTATCAGTTTAATTCATTTTAATGATTTATACCATTAGTTCATTGTTATTAGAAAATAGCTTGTTGGTTTTTAACTATATTATATTGTTAATTATATTTTCAGGCTTTTTAATAGTTCATTAGAAAATAGTAGGTTATTAATTATACTAATTGTCCCCAATTAGTAGAGGGTTTTTTTCCCCCATCGGCTAGATATAGACACGTTAATAAAGTTTATGTGTGTATGTATGTAAGTTGAAAGTTTACTTGGATTGAAGGTTCTTCGCTTCGATTTAGGAAGTTGGGAAAAGACGTATGTAAATTGATCACCAGAGAAACATTTTGAAAGCCAAACAGGAGCCAACAGGCGAAATGAGCCATCCCAGAGGAGCATTCTAACATCGAAGAATAGGCACCTCCGTAAAATAAGGATGTAGGCAAATGTGCCAAAAAAGAAACGAAAGAGTTCCTTAATCCTCTTGACATGTAAGCAGAAAATATAGCAAAGACAAAAGGATATCACCAGACCAACGTCAGGAAAGAGTAATTCATCCCTGAAGGGCGGTAAAAAATAAGAAAGGAGTTACCTAGTAGCAGACTTCGCCATAGACGAACTTCATTTTTTGACGTAGGGAAAGCATTCGAAAATCTCCACGGATCTGGCAACTCGTGGATCACTTTGGAGCTCCACCACAGTTCATTCAAAGTTAATAAAGAAGCTATAGCTGAGGTTATTTAAAACGTAACGTTGAAGGAAACTTTTGAGATAAGTCGGTTTAGGTTCTTTTCGTTCCCCGATGATCATTATACTGGCCTTTGAGTGGATTATGCTGTGTGGTAAACGGGTCCATGCATTGGAAATTTGTAACTCGCCTCAATGACCTGGAACTATTATGCAGGTAATGTCTACTTTCCCCGAACCTTCAACGTATGCACAGCTAGACCGACCATTTGACAGCAACTGCAGAAAAAATTAAAACTGGCCTCAACCAGTTAGCAAAGAGAAAATGGGAGTCATGAGAGCTGTGAAAATGGAGGAAGTACAATTTTTTTCACATTTAGAAAGCAACGTAATCATGAAGATAGAAGTGTAGATGAAAAAGTTAAAAGCAGGATGGACAATTACAAAGGCAATACGCCTTTAGTACCCTCCGAACAGTGTGAAACACGTCAACATATCTTAAGAACAAGAAAGGTCGTTACCATCAGCCTGTTCTACCAGATGGTTCCGAGCCTGCTAGAAAGTCCTCAGGTTCACATCAAGAAAGTTGCCAACCTCCAATAACCAATCTCTGGGACAGATCGTATATATACCAGAAAAATATTGACAACGGAAAATTATGGTTGAGGCAAAACGATTAATAGCAAACTCAGGCAGATATCTAGCTATATCACGAGGAGCAAGAGAAATTAGACTGTTAGCACGATGTGGAAGCCAACATCTGACAAGTATGGTCATGAATGAAGACAGGACTGGAACCGCAGGGACAAAGGAGGTCTGGTAGTCAAAACCCGTAGGAGCTCAGTGGAAGATGAGCCAAAAGAAGCTAATATTGAACGTGGGCTAGAGAACTTCTACAGACAGAGCGGTTCTAGTTATCAACGCCCTTTGCTCTACTCGGAACCAAAAAGATTACATCAGCCAGTCAATGAAAGATTTGTGCTCCTTAGATTTAGTACCTTCACATGGTTAATTTGATCTATCATCGGTTTCAGCTGACGTAATATACACTTTCCTAGCTAAGTAGAGCCAATATTATTGAAACAGCATGGAATAATATTTCAGTTTACCGCCTCTGAAGATTCTCCTTGCCTCTTGTAAAACAAGAATGATGCTCCATGGTCACTAAACTGCAACTTGTACTTCGTTACCATCTGTGCAGGAGAGTGGAAATTCCTTCCCTGTGTAGACACATGTATCACAGGCGTGATTTTACCAAGATCAACTTGATACCATTGGTTCAAATCATTGGTTGCTGATACCCAGCTACCACGCGAATAAACATCAGTCTCCTTAGTATGCAACCTCGCTCGCTTGATAGCGTGATTGCTGTCAAGTTCAGAAGAAGCAGTTAATTGCGAGTCAGCAATGGCACCGCTTTCCATACCAAGAGCTTCCAAACTGTCTACGAAATGAAAAAAAAAAAAGGACATCGGGTATATAGCAAACAATTATTGGGTACGATTTTTCGTGTTATCAGCAAGTGTTATCCCTTACCGAGATGACCTTGATTATTCTAGATATCAAGAGAAATCGAATTCAATAATTGTTCTATCAAATATAATTGGAAAAAAAAATATGATACGAACATAACTTTCATGACAGTGAAAACAATTGAATAAGTAAATGGAGACTCCATTCCGCGCAAAACATTTGCTTGCCTTTCAAATTTCCTCTCCATTTCGATTATTTAGTCTTCAGATATCGCAATACTCCTTTCTTAATTTTGGCGCATTTTCCGTGTCTACATGATTTGCGGACGCGACAAAATCTTTGTTGCTATGCGACCACGCTCGAAAAGGTGACAAATAACCGAACTACAGTGTTCTCTGAGTTATGCGAATGCAAACGCGTTCGACAGGTGAAAAATTATTTAGAATTATCGAGATCGTAGAGATTGAGGATGCAGCGCAATCACCGTGACAGGCTGTAACTAATCTACTGCAGTTACTATAACGCTAGTGTAAAACGATGAAAGATTAAACATTTCTGATTCTAATTATTGATATGTATTGTGGAAATCACTATGCCAACTTTGTTATTCTGTTCGTCAAGACTGTTAACGATGGGGTTTGTTCCCATAAAAACATTTTGACATAAGATTCCAAGTTTGTAGATTGTCAACATTTTCATTGCTCGGTTGTCCTCACTATAGTGAGCAGTCTCTCACATCTCGCACACAGTGCAGTAATACTGAGACTCTTTCAAGCCTTCTAAAGCCCTTGCTCCTGGGGTGAAGGTGCCGATATTCAGAAATAAGTCATCGGTGGGTTTAAGGGTTGGATTAAAGGGTCAGTTACCAAGACAGCCGTAGAGTTCCATCCTCATGGAGATGTAGTGGTTCCATGTTGTTGGTGCCAGTCTAACATATCGTGCTCTGATTGGTGGAGTTAAGCGATGTTTTACCACGTTGTCGGAATCACTGTTCCCAGCGAACACCTACAGGAACACGAATAAACAAACGTGTATACATATTGGTAATGTGATGCTTTCGTCTCAGGATAATTTGTTAGCTCATATTTCGACTTTAGAGAATCGTTTAAAACTATTATTTCCTCTGCTAAGTTTCTTGATTTGCAAACATTTTCAGAGATTTTACGAGCCTCCCTTAAGGACGGTGCATACTTCTTATGGTGCGCACACGTTCTGCGTATCACTTAAGGCATGCTTTAACTGCAACGCGTGCGCCAGGGTGGACTGAGTAATCAGCTTCGCTATCAAGTATGCGACTAATTTGAATGCAAAATTTTGCATTTGTATTCGAGATTCAAGACCAATTATCTCGCAAAAATGCGTGACTACGCCTATTTATTTCTTTTGCGATTAAAATAGCCCTTGCCATAAGATCTGCTTTTTCCATATGGTCCTAATTTGGCGAAAAGACCTTTGTGTTTACAAGGAATCGTCCTTAACATATGTTTCAGTTTATCGAACCGTGTGCTTTGAATACTGCCTGGACGCCACAAGAGAAAAAAAGGATAAAATATAGCCAAGCAGTACAATTAGTGCAGATTAATTTATAAATCATTAACTTTCTTTTATAGATCTTAGAAGGTTTTTCGAATATAATGCAAACTAGCCGTGCAAGTCTGCCAATGGGAAAACGCTGGAAAGAAGATAGTTCTTAGAAAATCGTCTCGTTCCAATAGTCGAACATTTGTGCAAAAATGATCATTGAAAGCCAAGCTGTGGAATACTTGTCCCACTATTTCGGCTACTCTGAAATAGTTAATCAATTTCTCGACTTTCAAAGTCATTTAATTTCTAGGGGTGCACAGCAGGAGCTTTCGTGGTACCTTTTAGGGTATTGAGCCGAAAAACGTCGGTGTCAGTTGATGCGTGGCTTCTGAATAAGTACTACTTAGGGGTGCAACAAAGACAGGATCTTGGTACCTCCTCGGGATAATTTCTAACCTTGTATGCGCTCTCTCCTTGCTGTTTAAAAACCTGAAATGAATTTCCGTCGCTGCTGTACTGTAACTTGTACTGGGTCACCCATTGGCCGACATTATGTCTTCCTTGAGTCCCCACATAAGTGACAGTTGTCTCTATTCGGAAATCAATTTGAATCCACTGATTCATGTCATTCACTCCTACTGCCCATGCGCCGGCATTACCCTTGTAGTGTAGTCTTCCCATGTTTGGGGCATAACTTCCACTATACTGAGAAGACGCTGATATCTGTGTGGGCGTTATTCTAAAGTTTTCCATTCCCAAAGGAATCTGGTACTCTTTAAAGTAAAACAGATGATAAATGATAGTCATACAGTCAGAAAAGCTTTACGCAAGTTAGGTTGCAAAATAGATTCACCAGCGTACCTATACACTCTGTGATTCTCTAACTTTATCATATCCAGGTCTATTCAGACCGGACTATCTTCTTCAAACAAAGAGGGGGCGATTTTGCCCACAATATGCACACTACTTCAGGAATATTTTAACAGCGATAATAAAACTTAGAGGGTATAGAAAACGTCCGAAAATGTTTCCCTTAATGTGAACAACACGAAATGGTGATGCCTTAACACTTAGTAATTACGTCATGTCTTCCAACCGTAGAGTCGTACTTACGCAATACCATAAAGGTCTAACTCTTTCTTCGTAGCTAACCAAAATGGAGTTGTTTTGGTCTCTCCTAGTACTTGGTTCCAGAATTCTGGATGGCGGTAACAGTTGAAATTTACGCTCAGACAAAATACACATTTACTACTGATTCCATCAATCGATCTTTCCATCGAAAGACAAATTTTGGCCCTTGTAACTTGGGGTGGGAAAGGAAATTTAAGACTTAGTCATTGTCAAGGATTAAAGCGAAAGTTAATTACCAAAACATCCGTAGATTTCCATCCTCATGGAGATGTGGTGATTCCATGCTGTGGGTATCAGTCTGATGTATCGCGCTTCGATCGGAGGAATCAAAGGATGCTTAACCACGGTGTCGTGATCACTATTTCCAGCAAACACCTAAAGATAAGAAAAATAAACGAAGATACACACTGCTTATGCAGTACCTTCTGGACGATCGGAAATTTACATTGAGTCGTTTTTTCCGTCTGGTGTCGTTTGTCGCGAAACATCCCAGGAATTACAAGATTCTTAAATTTAAAAGCAAGCCTGTAAGGAAGTGTATATGCCACACGGTGCAAAAGAGTCAATTATTCATGGTACACCTCTCCCATATCATGCCCATATACGTTATTTTATATCATGCCTGCCATACCTCCAGGCGAAAATGTTGAAACCGCGCCATTCGGCAAAAACGTTGGGACACCAAGCGAGTTTTCCCCTTCCCCCGACTTACAATGTTGATAATTAGGTGATTTCTGTCCTTTTTTGTTTAAAAAAACACGACATTTTCCAACATTGACTAGGGGAGATGGGATGGGGGATAAGTGATCCAGCCTCGAGTATCCCAGCTACTTGTAGCAATATTCGACGAGTGACCTGATATGATTTTCGTAAACATTTAATGCCGTCTCCAATATGAAAAGTTGCCCAACCTCAATGTCTCTGCTGTTAACGTACATTGACGTCACAGACAGTACAGTTTTTCAAACCTGCTAAATCCCGATTGGTCAATTCAAATTTCAGGCGCACCAGCCGTATAATAGTTAGGCGAATACGTTTATTTAAGCAATAGACCACAAGTTTTTTATGGTTTATAGGCTAAATATTATTTAAGTGCCGTCATAATGCACATTTTACGTTCATGCAAAGTAAAATCACACTCGTAAATGGTGTATGGGTGGTTTATTACAACATAGAGTATTAAAGAAAGCACAGGATTATTAAGTTTATTAAGGATTATTAAGTTTAGACCGTACTCGTGTCTTTTATTATGTTTCCAGACGTTTGTTAATGATTTTAGGACGAAAAACAAAACGATTTATATTATAGAATGATATAAATTCATGTGAAATAAGTAAGTAAACTGAATAGATTCCCTTCCATCCGGATCCCAATTTCTCTCTCCGTTTCCTTGTTTCCTTGTTCCATCTGCTTTGTTTTCAGAATTTTAACATTTAAACGGTTTTAAAATTATTTGTGGAATCAACGGCATGGTCGGAAGAGCTTTTTTTTTTTCTCGGTTACTGCAAAAATGAAATTAATTTACGTCAATTAAAAGATCGGATTGAGCTCACTCATACTGATTCTTCTGGAGGCGAAGTTTGTGAGGTTTTTTTTAAAAGACTTGTATGATTAAAATCATACAAGTCCTTATAATTGTGATTTAAGACACAATGAATATAGTTCGTTTGGGAAGGGGGGCACTCCCTATGTGGCGTAAACGGGTACGGCCGGGTCGCTGAACAGTGTATGGTTTCCAAGACCTTTCGTTTTAAATAGGTTATTCACTGACACTATTTAATGTCTAAGCATGATATGTCTGAGACGTTTTTTTGTAATTTTTTACTCCCCCAACCCCAACCCGCGGCCGACAATGGTATGTTGATTGCATGTCTGTATTTCGTGATTTGCTTAGTCATATAAAATGAATTCTTCTCACCTTGTCTGAGTTCTCGCCAGGCTGCTTATAAACCTGAAAGGAAAGTCCATCCTTGCTGTATTGTAACTTGTACTGGGTCACCCGTTGCCCGGAGCTACCGTACCTCCCTTGGGTTGCCACAAAAGTGACATTTGCCTCAACACGAAGTTCGATTTGAAACCATTGATTAAGATCATTCGCACCTGCGGCCCATGCTCCGTAGCCACCCTTGAAATGCAGTCTTCCTTGGTTTGGAGCATGATTTCCATCAAACTGAGAGGACGCTGAAATCTGTGCTGCTGTTATTTGTTTATTTTCCATGCCCAAGGGACCTGCACACGCTAACAGTAATAGATGAAATTTATAGAATAATCTTAAATTAAATTCGAGATAGTCAAATCCCCTGGGGGAGAGTTTGCTGAGTTTGGGCCGCTGGTCTCTCAGAATCCCCGCCCCATTATAGTCTTTCCTGTGGCTAATAATAGACCCAATCTTGGTTACGTACTTTTGGGTAACTCGGTCACTTTCTGTTTATTTATCTACCTTATAAAGCCTTGTACATGTAACTAGCTCATCCTTAAGTGAAGTGAAACATATTTTAAACTGAATTTAGAACGGTAACAACTTTTTCACCACGAATATAATCTTTCCTTTTTTAAATCACCCCTAAATCCGTAAAATATACAACCCCATTCAAGTAACTCTGTTGAAAATGCTATCCTATTATAGTCAATCCAGTCGTGAAAATACGACCCCATCCAGCGGCACATCCTTATTACGCTATTTGTATGAAGTATTCTTCCCCCCGAGTCAAATGTGTTAACCATGAGAGCAACAAAGCTGTGTAGTAAGCGTATTTGCTATGGAGAAAACTGTTGCTCTCCATGAAGTCAGACATAATTAAACATGGATTTCCATCATATTGTATACTGTAAAACTTCTTTATCTCGAAGAACATTGATGAATTTTGGAAAACAAAGCTATTCTCTCCTTCATGACGGTTTTTGAAAATAGTTAGGACTAAGCTAAATAGTTAATAAAGATGACAATAAAAAGAAAACAGTGGAAATACCACATCCCTTAAAAGCGATCACTAAGACAGCAGCAACACTACTGTACATGTAAATGAATATACTAGTTTTATTCACCTCTCGTGCAATGAAAACCTGTAAAGCCCGGCTCACAAACACAATGGTATTTATCCTCTTCGTAATTTGGGATGCAGCTACCGTTATTTTTGCAAGGAATCCTCGAGCAAGGTGTCTGCAGTAAAAAATATCCTTGAAAATATATTGCATTGCTGCAATATGTACAAGAAAATAAGAGTATGCATAAAATTGGACTGATATATAAAGGTGTCCTGGAATCAAACACAACGCGTAATTATGTTAGTTTAAAATAAGCGTCCAACTTTTATTAACTTAATGAGGCAGTTTTGCGTTTAGTAAATTATTAATTGCCATCTTAAGGGGATTTTGCTAAGAACCGAGGTTTAACTGGTATAGAATCGAGGATCACTGTTTCTGAGAATCAATATCTTCAACATAGTAATTACATTTTTGTTCTTTCGATAGCCTAAACTCTCTTTCGTCTTACTGAGTCTCAAAAACAATGTTTACTTTATAACGCCGTTGGGAAATTAGTGTTTACAATAGGACAGATGACGTCACTTGAAATTTAAACCCCGTTGTAACTCAGGCAAAAAAAAAAGTCATTCCCTCTGCTGTTCCTTTGAGAGCGACTTATGAAACAACGGCGCTCGTGATCACTTCAGCGCGATATTCAGCTATTAATTTTGAAAGTCGATGGCCTCTCCAGCTCAAAAGCAGAGAAAAAAAAACAACATATACCTTGGAATTATATTAACTATACAGGGCTTGAAAGAGGACGGCAAAATATGATGGGCTTCCCACAAGAGATAGGCTTCCCATGTATAAGGGCTGTTTATGACACTGTTATGAATACGCTTCTTACGTCCTTAGCAGAAAACAAATATGTATATATCATCACTGTACCCGACATTCAGGTGAATCACTCACAAGAAAGTCAGCAAGCGACCAGGAAAAAAAGTTCCCTAAAGAAATATTGTAAATCCGATCCGATTGGTTGTCTTGTCGTAAAGAAACTGGCCCGCTCTGTCTTCGCATGTAATTTCATCCCGCACTATATGATGCGCACCGCCGAAGATATCTATGACATGTATATACAACTGAGGCCTGCTGGCAGTCAAACGTTTGTTTATCTAAGTCCTCCAAATTGTAAAGTACAAACAATTCTGCCATGCATTAATTTGTCAGTGGACGGCTCGGGTAGTCAGATTTGAAAATTTCTGGCAATAAGTGGTGTCTTCAAGACCTTGATAAACAGTGAATATTGTTCTTCGTAATACATTTCTGTGTGAGGTACCTGATCGGCCAGTCGCAACCCATGGAGCTAAAATTTCTCTACTTCCAATTCTTAAAGGTTCAAATTCAATCGAACGCAACTCGTTGTATATTAGGCTTGGGTATCCCAGAACAAATTTATGTTGTTCTATGCTATTCTACGAGCTTTAAAAAATGATATATGGCATACAATGCAGTTTGTTTCCAAAATACCTCCCGCGTCGAACCCTTCTACTACAAACCTTTACATCAATTATTTTATTCATTCACTTTCCGTTTTGTCATTTGCTTTGCAAGGCAAATATCACCGTAAATACAAATCATTGCTGGCAGAACAAATCCTGGCAGTAGTGACTAAATGTTATATTAAGCTGGATTTCAAGTTGACAATATTACCTTTATGCTGTAATGGTGAAACTGCTGCGAATCGGTCAGTTTGTGAGGACTTCTAAACTTGTCTTCACTTAGCGGCTCGCAGCGAAGTTTTCCACTTCCGTTTGGCGACGTAGCGATGTTGAACGAAACACAGGTAGCGTTAGCCACACAAGCGAAAGCGCAGTCTAAAGCCCGGACTACTTCACAAGAAGAGTCTAAGAGGGATCCTTGAAGATGCTGAAAATTGTGAGCTTCAAAATTTGCGTATGATACCCCTTGAAAACGAGATCGCTTTAAACCATGATCACCTTGGATCAAAAATTGATGCTGGCCTGTAATACATGGAAAACGGAGCAGAACAACTGTAAACATAAAATTAAACATTCTTGTTTAGCAGAAATATCGTGTCAACGCGAACTATGTTCTTCGACTGGATATATATATTATGCACCATTGTTTTCTATAAAGTAAACAACGCCGAAAGAACCAATCGATCGACACCACAATCAAACAATCAGCGAATGACAAATGATGCTAAATTTGGAAAGTCAGTTCAGAGTTTCTTTATGCCTTCATTTTCCAACCGAGGCTTGGTTTAAAACAATTGATATGGAAATGATTTCTCGTGTGACAATCATTTTCATCTAAATTAAACACCTTTTTTGGCAAATAGTAATATTACATGACAGCTGGCTGATTGAAAAGTTTATTTCGTGCTCATGGTATCTCTTATTACAACAAAGCGCACGCACTAGTCCTGTCTAATTCCTATTGAGCCATCATGAACGAAATCCCTATATACGCACGGCCGTGCGTATATAACATGACGTGCGCAGTTTCAATTTAGCTGCAAAATTTCCGTCGAGTTTAGTGCAAGTTCCTTTTGTTTAAGTTTCGGCAATGTGACCACGATTATTCTGAACAATCCAAACCTTTTGACTTTTGCCAAGCTAAGATGTTTATTTAAACTTGAGTATTTTGACTTTGTTTGTCTACATTTTCACTGAGTACTTTTGACTTCGTTTGCCTACGTTTTCATCATAATTAATTCGAGGAAGCGAATATTTCATTGACAATTTTTAGTAGAAACCAGATTAAGCGTTTTCGTTTAACTGTTGCTAAACTGACTGTGGCGTGTTAGGATCCCAATGACCTTTGTTTTCCTTCACCGAGAACTTTGTAGTAATTAACAAATAAAGAAACCTAAGGGCCCGGACGCACTGGGCAAATTTTTGTTTATTTTGCGAAAAAAATCTGTCATCAATTCCCTGAGACAAGTGCGTCCGGTGATTTTTAGACCCACCAAATTTTGTCAAGGCTTACCAAACTTCAAAGACACCGTCGTACTGCCTCGGAGCAGGACAAATTTTTGTCAGGCGTGAAATCTGACAGATTTGTCAATTTACACGCCATGATTTGAAGGAAAATGTCAATCAAGAAAATTTGATCTCTACTTTTAGTCGGAGTATTTCAGTCTGAAGCCCGCCAAAATTAAATTTATATTTGCGCGGCAATCAACAATAAACATGGAAGATTCGCACTTCGGTATGCTCCATGACGATCTGTTCGCACAGTACAACTATTACGGTTCCCAAGTCTACGTTAACGTTCCAGCTGCATCTCCAGGACCAAGCTCTGCTCAATTTGTACATCCGTATGTCCACCCGAGTCAGCCGAGTACAAGTACAAGTGCAAGTTTCACGACTACATGTAATCAAATTGAAAGCGCGCAAGCGATGGTGTTAATTTCCATGTGATTGACTTTTGTGGTTTACAAATATTTTGCTATGATTCAGTGCGCCCGCGCTTGACAAATTAAAAATTTGGAAGAGACAAATTTTGTCGAGATTTTTGGGAGGGCCAAACAAATTTTGTCAGTCCAGTGCGTTCGGACCCTAAGCCGCGTATTACCCGGCGATAAAACACGACGGACATTTGAGAATACGAGGGAAATGTAGGAAACACGAGCCGCAGGTAAGTGTTTTCCACATTTCTCGAATGTTCTCTAATGTCGGCTATCTTTAAAACGAGGAACGGGGAATTGGGGAATGGGAATGGGGAACGGGGAACGGGGAA